CTGTGGCTATACCAAGGGATCTGCACTGACAACAGCAAACCTCTCTTTTCCATAATCTCCCTTCTGCCTCTGTACTTTCAGTATCCAGTATCACAAGGTGAATTCCTTGGTAGTCCTGGAATTTTTATTGTTCAGGGTTTTGGGGTTTTTTCTTCCCCTTGATTTGCATTTAGCACACAGGCACCTTGGTGTATATTAGCTTAAAGAATACCTGAAACTCGGATTTGAGACGAGAAGGATGTAATTAAAGAATTTAGAGACTTTGCAGACAACACTTATGGGTGTTTAACTCTTCAAATGTCCAAAGTTCCCAGACAACAGAGAAAATATCAGAAGGAATTGCAGAGGAAGAGCTGAAGGATAAATCTGTGTGGCTTAGGAAAGAGAGCGGATGAGATAGTGTCTGGAAATTAATGAAAGTAGAGAAGTGACTGTGTAAACTGAAAGAAAGAGCATAAATCAGGAAGGAAATGTGTTCAGAATTAACTCAGAGGAAAGTCTAGAGGAGAGCTTTGCCATCAGTTATGTCAGTAACACTGTGATATATCTAGTTTTTTACCACTTCAATCCCAAATAACATCTCAGCAGACACTGCTTTTTCACAGAACCTGAGCACCCTGCTCAAAGGAGGGCAAACTTCAAAGGAAGATCAAGTTTCTCAGGGTCATATCCAGTCAGGTTTTGAAGGATTTTTCCCAGGAAAAAATTCTTTTGTCAAATTTGTTTATTTTCAGTCTTCAAAGTGAACAAGAGCTGGCAGCAAAATATCATGCCAGGATAGCTATGGCTTTGCTTGGTAGGAAATACCAGCAAAACTCTGCTAGTAATAAAGTTCCCGGAGCTCACCACTTGCAAGAGGTTTCTTAGCAGATTTTATACACAAAGAGAACTACATAATTCTCATTTCATTTCAGTTCACTTTGGTGCTCTAACCTCTCTTCAGAACTTCAGAATACCCTTCCCACAAGCTCTCCATGGGACTGTGGGACAGCATCAGCCCCTCACTGCCCATCCCAGCTGCAGCCAGGATTTCTGCCCATTGGTTGGATAGGAACAAGTTGAGCAACAAGCAGGCGAGTCCCTGGGAAAGGTATTGACCTGCCCTCCAGCTTCCTCGGGCAGCAGCTGTAATTTATGTTATGATGTTCCTCGGCCACATTTTATTATATTAAAAAAAATAAATCTGAGTAATCTAATAAAAAGTAGTAGAGACTGTTGTTGGCATAGGGCATGTTCACGGCTGCAGGATGCCTGTCTCTCTCTGTTCACTATCACAGGGCTGAGGCAATGCTGCGAGTCTCTGTCACCAAGTCCTCTCAGTGCTCGAAGTAGCTCCTGGCTCTCTTTTCTCCTTACTCAGAGACAAACCATGGACATGGACCCCACAGAGGGTCCTTCTCCATTCTTCCTGCCAAAAGACAGCCTGCAAAGGAAACCCTAGAGTTTACACACACAACAGGAGTGGTCTAAAGGTTATGGCGCTGGAGGTACAGGAACAGCATGCACAACATTAACAAGGACTTGAGGAAGCATAAAAGGAAACAGGCCGTGGGAGGCTGCAGGAAACTGTGAAAGCTAAAGTTGTGGACAAATGGAAAGAAATTGAAGTAACATATCTGGTGGCAGATTGCATGTAAAGCACAGTAGACAAAGAGCACTTTGAGGAACAAATGGCAGAGGGAATTAACACTAATAGCGATTCTTCACATCAAAGATTCAGGAGCCTGTCAGAAAATTTGTAGGACAAGCTGACAGTATAAAAGAAGATCACAGCAGATATGGCCATTTTAAAATTATTTGTTCAATCAGTGTTTGTAGTGGAAGAAATTTTGTTCAGATGGTTCCAATCACTCTTGGACGTTAGGTATCTTAGGAAAGATTAGGTAGAATTTAAAATTACTTCAGAAGAAAGATGAAAAAAATTCACAGAGTGAACAGCAATGAATAACTAGAACTGAGAATAAGTACCCAAAATGTCTAAGATGTCTCTAAACTGGAAGAGCTAAGGTCAAAGCAGTGAAGGATAACATGTCATTTAAAATTACTGGGTCTTCCAGTAATTTTTATAAAACAGGAGCAAACATTAGGTCCATTTTAAAACATTGTTCCATAGATTATCTGAGTAACTACAGACCTCTTATTCCAGCTTATGTATTACAGGGGGGTCTGCCAATGTGTACCAGATTTATGTGGCAAGGTCCTTGTAGTGGGGGGGAACGCAAGGGTGGCTTCTGTGAGAAGACACCAGGAGCTGCCCCCGTGTTAGGCAGAGTTAGTACCAGCTAGCTTCAAAATGGACCACCAATGCCCAAAAGGAACCCATTAGTGATGCTGGTGGCACCTCTGTGATAACATATTTAAGAAAGGATAAAAATGCTGCACAGAAGCTGGGAGAGAGGAGTGAGAAAATGTGAGAGAAACAGCCCTGCAGACATCAAGGGCAGTGAAGAAGGAGGGAACAAGGCACTCTAGGTGTTGCAGCAGAGATTCCTCTGCAGCTGGTAGTGAAGACCATGGTGAGGCAGGCTGTCCTCGTGCAGCTTGTGGAGGTGCATGGTGGAGCACCTGCAGCCATGGAGGTACACAGTAGAACAGCTGTCCACCTGCAGCCCATGGGGGTTAATGGTGGAGCAAAGATCCACCTGCAGCCTGTGGAGGTTAATGGTGGAGCAGAGTTCCACCTGCAGCCCATGGGGGTTAATGGTGGAGCAGAGATTCCCATTTTAAAACATTGTTCCATAGATTATCTGAGTAACTACAGACCTCTTATTCCAGCTTATGTATTACAGGGGGGTCTGCCAATGTGTACCAGATTTATGTGGCAAGGTCCTTGTAGTGGGGGGGAACGCAAGGGTGGCTTCTGTGAGAAGACACCAGGAGCTGCCCCCGTGTTAGGCAGAGTTAGTACCAGCTAGCTTCAAAATGGACCACCAATGCCCAAAAGGAACCCATTAGTGATGCTGGTGGCACCTCTGTGATAACATATTTAAGAAAGGATAAAAATGCTGCACAGAAGCTGGGAGAGAGGAGTGAGAAAATGTGAGAGAAACAGCCCTGCAGACATCAAGGGCAGTGAAGAAGGAGGGAACAAGGCACTCTAGGTGTTGCAGCAGAGATTCCTCTGCAGCTGGTAGTGAAAACCATGGTGAGGCAGGCTGTCCTCGTGCAGCTTGTGGAGGTGCATGGTGGAGCACCTGCAGCCATGGAGGTACACAGTAGAACAGCTGTCCACCTGCAGCCCATGGGGGTTAATGGTGGAGCAGAGATTCACCTGCAGCCCATGGAGGACCCCATGCCAGAACAGGTGGAGGTGCCCTGAAGGAAGCTGTAGCCTGTGGAGAGCCTGTGCTGCAGCAGGCTCCTCACAGGAACTGTGGCCTATGGAGAGGAGCACATGCTGAAGCAGGTTTTCTGTCGAGACCTATGATCCCATGAGGGACTCGCAATGGAGCAGTCCATTCCTGAAGGGCTGTAACCCCACAGAAAGGACCCACGCTGAAGCAGTTTGTGAAGAACTGCAGCCCCCTGGGATGGACCCACATTGGAGAAACGAATGAAGGACTGTCTCCCAGGAGTAAAGTTGAACCCAGGAAAAAGAGAAGGGTGGAGGGAAGGTGGTTTTAAGTTTTGTTCTTATTTCTCACTATCGTACTCTGTTACTAATTTGCAATAAATCAAATTAACCTTCCCTAAGTCAAATCTGTTTTGCTCCTGACAGTAGCTGGTGAGTGATCTCCTTGTCCTTATCTTGACTCATGAGCTTTTCATCCTGTTTTCTCCCTCTGTCCTGCTGAGGGACGGGAGATAGAGTTGTCTGAAAAATAACAGATACTTCTTTTCAGTTTATATGTTTGTAAAAATACAGAACTGGCCTTCGTTCTACACTGGCCATCATGTCATCACTTCTGTTAATGAATCTAATGCTATCCTGCCTTCCAATAATTAAATTTAAAGAAAAAAAAAGAGATGTCACATAACATAACCCTACAACTAACTGCAAAAAAACAAGCAGCAAAGAAGTTGTCAGAGTGGGAAGTTCAAACTCCAGCTTTCCAACCTAACACCATGAAAAATCCACCCATCCTGGGCTTGCAACCTGGTACTTTCCCTGCTTGACTGCAGGTAACAGAAGAGAAAAAGAAGCAGGGGGAGAAGATACATCTCCAGATAAGAAAATGTTCATTAGCAGGGATGTTGGAGACACATTGAATTTCCCTGAGTATCCAGTGATATCACATTTATTCAAAAGTACTCATTGGATCTGCACCCTAGCAGCACAAATTCAACTGCTGATACTGACACCAGCATTTTCATTCCAGTCCATGCCTTACTCCCAGAGCTGGGAAGGTTTCCTGAGGGCATGGGGCAAAAGTGTCTTTGACTCAGGAAGGAGGGTCGTCACTCTGGAAGGGTTAAAAATTAATGAGAGAGAAGAATGAGAAGATTAAAGCTGAGACTAGTTCCCTGTTTGTGTTCTAGCTCCCCATTCTGAAGTGATAGAAATGTCCTCAGTGTCTGCTTTCCCCCGCAGGTGGAGTTAATTACTTGTGTGAATTGTTCTCACTGCTTCTTGCTGGAATATCACAGAGCCACTGACCCGATACCACTGCCTCTGGCCGCCAAAAAGGAGCGACAAAGGAATCAGCAAAGATGCTGAGCAGGGTCTTTTCCCAGCCAGGATCCCCCCTCTCCTACTTGCAGTGGCAGGGCTGGTGGGGCTGGAGTCAGACTGATCAACAGAGAGGAAACATAAAAAGTTGTGTGAAAGTGGAAGACAAAACAGACCCTCTCAATAAGGTCTCAAATGGAGCAAAATTCAGCCCTGTGGGTATGACTACAAACTGTAAAACATCTCTAACTTTTTTGGCATCAGCAAGTTCAGGGACTCTGCCCCCACCTAACTCCACTGCTTCTCCTGAAGATCCTTGTTTGGTTCTATGTGTTTCTGCCACTGCTTCACCCTAAACCCATAACTTTCCACATATCCTGAAAGTCTCGCCATGCAGCCAGCATGGGTAATGAAGAGGGCTGATCTTATAGTTTATTGACAGTTCTTTACTGGATATGGTACCTGGCAATGGCCCATTGCTCTTGCTGTGGTTGCTGCCGCTCTTATAAATGCAGTGGATACCTCAAGCTCAGAAAGTCCTGTCTCACCAGAAGTGTCAAAGTATCCATGAGCTATCCATTCTTGAGACCAGGGCCCTGACCACACAGCCCTTCATCCCTGTTGCCCTCTTTCTGCTGGGTTCCTGCTGCCTATGAGATGCAAAGACACAAAATGGCATCTTTGTCCTCACTGCCTCCCATGGGATGCCGTGAGCAACTGAGGATCTTTACAATTTTACTCAAGGGGGACCATCAGAGGATTTCAACTGAAAGCAGAAATTCCTCCTTCACCTGCACAAGGTGGCTTGGAAGAAGGCATGCAACAGAAACTCATGTTTGAGAGCAGAACAACAGCAGAACTCGAGGCCTGCTTCTGCTGGAAACTCTCACCCCCTCTGTATGCTCACATGTCCTAAAGATACATCTGAGCAGCTGGAGCTGTGTCTGCACAAGGCACATGAAGTCCATGGGATGATGGGACTGTGCACATTTTTGCTCCTGTTCTCCTATCCCCAATACAAGAATGACATGACTGAACTGGAGAAAGTTCAACAAAGGCCACATGACATGCTCGGCAACTGGAGCACTTGCCCCTTGAGAAAGGTTTTCACCCTTTAGAGTGTTCAAGAGCAAAATGCAGTGGCTTCCAGTGCAGGTACATTCCTCTACTCAGTGAAACAGTGAGGAGAGAAGGTAAGTGAGGGAAATGAAGCAAGTGAGGACTTGCACAGAGCAAATGACCCTAGGATCCCACTGACTACATTTTGCCTCAGCCTCTTCAGAGGTTTCTTTCCCTCCCAGTCCACCACTTCTCCTTCCACCTCGTGCCCTCCAACACCCTTCTCACAGCATTGCCAAGACCCTCCTCAAAACCACAGCACCCCCTCAGGGACTTATTCCAGCTCTGCCCCCTTCCTTTCCATTACGTCCACAAGTTTTCACAGCCCTGCCAGCCGCCCAGCCAGCACGCACCAGTGACACTCCTTCCACCTGGCAAGGGTGGCCCCACCACCACGGGACAGGCAGACAGCAGGAGCAGTACATAGCAACAACCAGCGCTCCCCACAGGGTTTGCCGATACTCTCCAAGGACTCCCACCCACTTTTGTGGCTCATAAATTCCCCCACGCCATCACCTCCATGCAATGAGGTGCTGAGCAGGTTTCCTGCGATGTAGCTGCTCATCCCAGCCATCCTCTGCCTGCTGGGCTCTTGCTGCCTCCGGGGCACAGAGACACGGGGTTATAAAACCATCCTCATGGTGACCAACAGAGGCCCCTGGGGCTCTTGGGGGTACCCACAATTTTGCCCCAGCAGCTACGCTGAGGGATTTGAATTGAAGGTAAGGTTACACTCCTTTTTTGGGGTGGGGAAAAACCCTGATGCGAAATGTTTTGTTCTGGTCTCAGCAGGGCTAACCACAGCACCTTGTCCCATGGCAGCAGTTTGCATTGTATCTGCATTGCTTGAGCAGGTTTTATCAGCAAGAAATCTCTAGCACAGAGTAGCTCTCCAGGCTTTCTGCCAATGAGCGATTTCTTAGCAGAGCAGTACATGGGGTAAGAAAAGACCTGGGATTGGTACTGCAGAGCCCTTTCCCAAGGGACTGGGACAACTCCCACCTGCCAGCACTCCAGCTCTGGTTGTCTGGTTGTCACAGCACATGGTAGGCATGACTGGGACAGCATCCCCCAACCATTCCTGTGTCCAGAGCCTCTGCTCCACAGTTTGGAGAAAAGCAAAGGTGGTCAACAGCAAAAAGGGCTGCCTGAGAAATGCCGTGGAGCTGCCTCACAGCTGTGCACTACCTGCTTCTGTCTCTGTCCCTGAAGCTTCCTACCACCCCTCATCACCAGGGCTCACCGCAACATTCTTTTAAATGAGGAAGGGTTCTGATCTCTCCCCTTTTCTTCCCCTCTTCTAAGGTGGAGCCCTACCAGGGATTTTGGCTATTTGGCGATGACACGGCTTTGAATGGCATCCGCCTGCACTGCTCGGATGGCACAGTCATCGAGTCCTCCGTGGGGCAGTGAGTAGTCTTCACTTTCTCATCTTCCTTCAGGGCAGCAGTTTCTGAGGGGCATGAAAGAAAACGAGCACCATAAGCACTTTCTCCACAAGCATCCACAACCCCTGTGAAGGTGACTCCCCACCCCACTTGAAGAGCTGGGTGAGGTCCCCTTGGCCACAGAGTATGTCTTAGGGCAGAGATCTGGTCCCAGGGAAAGGAACAGAACTTTAAAAGATGAAGGAAAGTTCAAATAAGGCAGATCTTAAACCTGTACTTCCTCTTCTTGCTCAAACACTTACTTCGAAAAGGACAGCGCAGGGCAGCCCAGGGTTGATGGTGGCCAGGTATCTAGTGGTGATGCAGAAGCAGACTGAAACAGTTGCTAGTAGAAATCCTCCATCCCTGTGTAGGCCTGCTGCCCCAGGGCTACCAGGATCCCAGACAAGTTGCTTTGTTGTCTGTAGCACAGCAGAGGCTGAACACATCTCAGTGAGTTGTCTTCTTCTCTGGCAGGAGGGGAAAGTGGACTAAGCCCCAGTTCTGCCACCGCAACAAGCTGGTTTCCTTCTTGCTGCGTGTGAAAAAAAGGCAGTTCCTGTTTGATGACACAGCAGCCAACAACGTGAGGGTCACCTACTCGGATGGGACACAGCTGGAGGGCTGTGGACTTTCGGGGTGTCACTTCAGTCAGTGGAGCCCCAGATGCTCCTCTGGGGGCATCTGTGGGCTCCAGACAAAGATGTATGAAACCCATGGAAGGGAAGATGACACAGCTTTCAATGACATGAAGCTCTTCTGCTGTGACAGAGCCAGAAACCACGCCCCATGCCAGTATCTACAAAGTGATCCACCATTAAACCTTGAATGTGTCCTTGCACAAGGAGAAGTGTGCTTTTTTCTCCATCACATTTTACAAAATCCACATCCTATGGCTACAGCAACCAGGGATTTCCTCCTGTCCCTGTTCAGTGAATGTGTGGTTGCTGCAGCTCCTTGACCCAGGTCTAGACTGCACCAAGGCTGAGGATGGGTTGCCAGGAGGTGCACATGTGCAACACAATCACACAGCACTTGCACACACATGAGCAGCATGGATGACAGGTACTGTTCATCTCCAGCTGATCAGGATTGATGTCCGCTAGGGAAATATGTACTCACACAAGGAAAATGGGGGTCGCCAGTCTGGCTTGAAGGTTGCTGGTGGTCTCTCACACAGGCTAAGAATAGAGGGTGTGTCCATATAGAAAGTGGATAGAAAGAATGTAAAACTGCAGGATAAGCTGTGGTGATCAGGTGCAGAGCTTTATCAGACAAGCATACTGACCAGCCAGCCATTACCCAGGGCCAGCCCCTTTTATCCTCTTTTCCCTCACACTAGTTCCCCATGCAGAACCACCTCTAATCCTTCCCCTAAATATCCCATAATAAGTCTTGCACATTCCCGTAACACCCTTAAAACACAATCTGACCATCTGCACGGCCTTCTGGGGAGAGGGTGGCCCCACTGACTCTTCAGTGCATTCACTGGAGGCCTGGAGCTCATCGCTGTTCTCCAGCAATCACAGGGCACAGGTCTTAAGCTCTGCTGACACTGCTGAGGATACTGCTTGCTCCACCTGGTATTACCACTCTGATTCTCACTCAGTCTGTGTTCAATGTGTTTGGGCTTTATAGCAAGTTTATAAACTGACAAACTCCTGGGAGTGAACACAAGGATTCTCCACACCTGTAGGTAAGGCAAGAGGCAGAACAGTGAAGGAGGATAAGAGGGACCATCTGCCCTGGTAGGAACCATGGTTTCAAAGGGGAGGAAGAGGAACTCTTCATGATCTCTCCATTATAATGCTTAGGATGTGGAGGGACTACTATCATACATTCCTTCACCCATTAATAGGTTCAAATACACCAGGAAACTCCTGGCCCCAGCTCTATGCCTCTCCTTCCAGCCTGCTTAACACAGCATCTCAACATCTCCAGGTGCAAATGAGGCACCTTGAGGACTGTTGTTTCCAAGGCTGACATAATTCACATGCAGTGAAGTCAGAACTGTGCCATAGTATAGGTACCTTTCATGAACCTACCACCACCTCCTCCAGCATCAAGACCTCCTGCTCAGTTCCTCTCTGGAGTTCATATTTTGTCCTGCTTTCTGGGGCCATAGGCAATACCTCACATGTGAGGACTCTGACCATGATAACAAGTATGGGACGGGGAGTGGTCACAAACCCACATCTCACAGGGTATCATGCAGGAACAAGTTGGTTGGACAGTCATACGGTCCTCATGTGCAGGGAGGATGTGGGAAGTGAAGGAAAGGAACAGCAAGAATGAGAAGAGCTTCAAAGGGAATTGCAGGGATTTCAACAACAAACCCTTTTCTCAGTACACACAGTATGAAGAGCAGGTGAAAATCTGGGAAAGACTGTGAGGCAGGGAGAATATCCTTAACTCTGGAAAGTTCATAGCCAGTTCCCAAACTCACATATTTAAAATTTGCTCACTTTGATGTTTCCTCTGATAAGTAATTCTTGCTTAGGAAGATTGTGAACAGTCCTCAGTAGCACCTGTGAGACAATAGTTTCTGTGCACACACTGAATATCTGAACTCACAGACACAGCTAATTCAGCTTTTGTTTAATCCCTGCTGGGATTCCAGATGTTCCAGTGGTTCCCAAAGCATTAACAGTGCCATCATTTGCCCTTATGCATCCATATGGACTGCCTGCCACTGAGCACACAGCCAAGAGAAGCCTCACAGCAGGTACATTTACAAGAACATTTAACCCTTTCCACCAAGCCTTTGAAAATGGGTTTGAAACTTCAAGTGGCTATATTTCATTGCCCGTTTGGTCCGTCACTGAGCACTTATTCCATACCTATACCAGTAAGCCCTACAGAACCATCTATTATCCAAGCAGAGCACCAGATCTACAATCAAAAGCAAACCACTGAGTACATAAGCTGGCAGCAAGGTCACACATTCTTGTGGGTGGGTATTCAATTTTAAGAGATAAAGGCACTCCTGAGGTAGCTCAGTTTTCTGTTATGACAATCTCAGTTTACAAATAGGTATAGTAGGAAAATTCATAACTCGGCTTTTCTCCTGGAAAAAGAGGTTCCCCTAGAGCACTCTGAAATACACTGAGACAAAAAAGATTGGATTCTTGTCATGAATGTCTCAAGAGGTTTTTATATTACCTTTGTATTATCATATTGCTTTCATATTACTCATTCAGTTAAGCGAGTTGCTGTACACAGCACTTTACATGGCATTAAACATGAAAGAGACATTCTGCCTACCCAGGCGGCTCCTTCAAGAGCACTGGTCTTAGAAGGCATTTCATGGTCTTCTTGCTCAGCTCTTCGCCCTCCCTATTGTAACAAAAATGCTTGACTGGGCTGAATCTAAATGCAAAGGCAGGTCATCTTGAATAATAAATATCCCAGTTTCTGGGCTGAGGAGATCTAACAGGGAAATTCTGGAAGGGAAATCCACATCCATTACTTCTTCAAATTAATTATTTGATTAATGTTGGATTTTGTAGTGTGTATGTCAGTACAACAGGGAACCCCAGGGTGCTGCAGTGTGAGAAGGCTCATGTCAAGCGCTCACTTTCTGTCCATTCACAGCAGCATGTGGCCCCTCTCATCACAGGAAAACCTGGATGAAATAACAGATGGAAACCCAAGGTTTTTCAATAATGGTCCTGCTTCTTGTGCAGTTATTTACCTTGATGCACAGCAAAGGCTGGTTGAGATGCTTAATCTCACGCCCCTCAGTTCATGCCTATTTTGCCTTTAGGCACCTTTGATGTAAAGCAGCACCTACTCCTCCCTTATTTACTGGGCAGCACATGTGTGGTGCTCAAAATTTTGTGTGAAGGCATTCACAGCTACACTTCCTCAAAATATGTATGTTACGTGCAACAACCACCACGAATGCAGTAATGTCAGTTATTCACATATATATGGTTTTAAGCATCTGGAGGATGGGGACTGGGTCTAAAATATAACACTAAGGTTCACCTCTGTAAACAGTGTGTTGTTGCCATGGAGAGATGGTGGCCTTGTTCTGCCCAAGCAAGCAAACAGCTTTCCTCCTCAGAAAGTCCTAGCTAATTATTTGCCCAATATGGACTGATTACGGTAAAGAAGTGCAACAGGGAATATCCTTGAGCTAAAAACTTTGTTAATGGAGCAGGTAGTAAAGGCAATGCAATGGCATTTGCACTCCAGTAAGCAAAGTACAAGCCACAAAGGTCTCTACAGAGCTTAGATATGCACCCTGCAGCCACAGCCATCACCTCCCAGTAGTGTCACCAGTCCAGCACCACACTCATCATAGCTGTCTAGTGCCCAGTTCAGAGCAGAAGCAGCACCATGCTTATATCTGCTCAGAGCAGGTCTGCTGTTGTCCTCAGCCCTCTCTCATGAGGGCTCAGCACAGCTTGCCCATGCTCCCACATTTTCTTCTATACCAGTTTTTAGTGCACAGCTTTCTACTCGATCCTCTCTCTGTGGTAGACACGGAATGATGCCTGCTTTCTCTCAAACCTCTCTTCATTGACAAAGTGCAGGGCTGTGTGGAGAACAGGAGCACTGATGTGACAGCTTTATTCCCATTTATTATATGCATCTGATTGTGTGTTATTAGAGGAGCTCTGTCACACTTTCACTGTCAGTTCTGGTGACAGACCTGATATGTAAAAACCCCAGAAATGAACCAGGACCCTCGAGGCACAAGGCACTGTGCGACCAAGGAGCAGAAGGATGGTCCATGCTCTAATACTGGTTGTGATTTGAGCATACACATTTGCATGCATCTTCATGTGCTGGTGAGGTGACAGTTCAGTCAGAGGCCTGTCCTCCAGCTGTCACAACACCTGGGACATCCTTCCTGGAGTGAGAGAACAAACATGAGTAATAAAATAGAGCAGGATGAAAAACCCTTAGGAAATTTTCTGTGTTTCTCCTCGAAGTGCTGAAGGAAGACACACAAC